GACCCAAGATAAAATTTGCTCTTCTCATCATTCCTGTGTAAGTATTTCAGCAGCCACTATAGAGGCAGGTGAACTAAGAACTCATATTTGTACCCAACATGTAATAATCTTAAATGTATGGTATTTCTTCCTAATGAGGAAAGGCTTCTTCCTGACAATGACATATCAAAGGTAGTAATGACAGATTTAAAAAAAATGTCTGGCCAAACAGTAGATGTATTCCTTTCTGCCATAATCATGGTCCTAAGTCATTTACACTTGAGCCCAGTTCTTTCCATATTAAATGTATTAAGTAATGGCAGGCTTCAGGGACACAGAGACAAATGGGCTCAATGGTACATCTAACAAGGAGGAAATACATAATTATTTTATATAAGCATAGTAAGTCTTATAAAATGACATAGGGATAATTTTAATAATCATATAGCATGCATATAGGGAAAATAAAGACTTCTGATCCTTATTTGAGTAATTTTATCTAACAGTAATCATTTAAAAAACATGAAATAATGAAACTAAAATATGATATTAAAATTTTAAATTACAGCCATAAACTGAACACTAATTAAAAGAAAAGTAAAAGAACTTTGGTATGTTTGAGATTTCAGATTTTTTATATTATATGACATCAGACTTCTGCAATAGCAAGAAGCTTCTAGAAATTCTATACTTTAGAAGAAACATTTTATGAGGTAGCAATTGGACTATGTTGGCCACTGTTTTAAATGATTAAAGTGTCTTATTCCAAATTTGAACATATAGTGAAACTATTTCCCAGATATCTTTGCAGATCGTAGTGTAGTACTCTTTTAAAACCGGCAGTAATTTGGGATTAGTATTTCTTTAGTGAAGTTAGGAAACATCTGCAGGGCCTCCCCGGTGGAACAGCGGTTGAGCACAGCACTGGGAAGCGGTCCGCAGCCTCCGCAGTGCAGGTTCAATTGCCGACCAGGGAGATTCCACGTGGCGTGGCAGACCTCTCCTGTCGCGCCCGCTGTTCCCCTCAGCAGTGTATTTCGGTCGTCTGCCTGTTCTGTTCCTTGCTCTGTCTCTGGAATCCTCTCACCCTCCTGTGCCTCTGGCCTGTACCCTAGCTCTTGTATAAAAATAAATAAATCCTTAAAAAAAAGAAAGAAAGCATGTGTGCACACAGAGAAAATCATAAAATAAGCAACAACTAAAATATTTTGAATAAAATGGGGAGAATAAAATTTCTTTGGAGCATTTCAAAGGCATTGTATAATATATGTGCTAATGAAAGATAATAGATGATTAAAAAACATTCAAAGAAACATTTATATTCTAAAAAAGGTTCTGTTAAATAATTATGCTTTGATCCCTTCAGAGGAAAACTTCAGGCAGTTTATTTCTAGCTATATTTTTATATCACTGTTCTAAATAAATCACAAAGATCTTCCTAATATTATTTCCCTGAAATGTAAATTAAGGTATAATGCCACTAACTGATATGCTATCTCCTGGACCTTCATCTGTATAGAATAGTGTAGAAGGCTAGTGAGTGAAAAATAAAATTAATATTTTAATACATATCATGCTCAAAAATAATATATTTAAACTAATTTGCTAGTTTTAATTGGAAAAATATAGTGCTAATGAAAATAGTTCCACAGGTTAAATGCAAAACTAACTCATAATAATTACAATATTCCATATTGTAAGAGCCAGAATGAAAACTGTGGATCTGGTTGGTGGTCTTTTCTCTATACAAAACCAGTCAAGTATTTCTATTCAGGCCTCTTCTGTAACTTTTCTTTTTTTTTTTAAGATTTATTTATTTATGTATACAGAGCTGGGTGTAGAGGTGCTAGGGTTGCAGGGCTAAGAGGATTCACAGCGTGGGGAGCAGAACAGGCTCTATATAACTGTCCTCTAATAAAAGCTGTCAGTTTATTTATAACTGTCCTCTAATAAAAAATAAAAACAGATTTCAAATCCCTGGTCCTAAATCATTTATAGAAGACATATTTCTGCATCATCTATTCCAAAAGACCACACTAGCCATTAAAAGGATTTGGAATAGCAGCAGTTCTATCTACTGAAATACACTGCTGAGGGGAGCAACCGGTGATACAGGAGAGGTCTGTTGTGCCATGTGGGTTAGCTCCCTGGCCAGGGATCCTACTCCTTGTGTAGTGGCTACAGATTGCTTCATAGTGCTGAGACTTAACCCCTTGCACCACCAGCCTGGAAAGACTCGTGTTATGCTCACCTCTAAGGGTGCAGCCCCTGGGAACCTTCTGGGGCCGAGGAGACGCCCTGAACACCGTCCCTGCTCCCTATCTCTTACCCTGAATGGGAGCGTGTAGGAAGCCCCAGCAGTGGCGGTGGGCCGGGGCCTCTAGTCATGACAAGGCCCCTCTTCTATAACTTTTCTTGACACTGTATTTTAACCTGAATAGATCAATTTCCATGTAGAAACAAGGTAAATAGAAATAAAATCACGAAAATGAAACTAGACAGTAGGTACTCCCTGGTAACTTAAAAAGGTAAATTCTGTTCACTTGATTCCTATGTATATTTGGAAATGTAATATAAGGGGAGGTTCTAGTCTGACTAAATTGAATGTTACTTTCTCTCCATCCTCTTGTTTCCTCCTCTTGTTTCTTCTTCATGTGTAACATCTGTTGAGAACAGCAAGATGCATTCTTGATATTGAAAAGAAAGAAAACTTGGAATAATTGAACATTTTATTTCAGCTAGTTGATCTAAAGTAAATGAAATATTTTCGTCTGTTTCTTAGTGTATTTGTCTAAATAGGAATCGATATTTCTGGGAAATTTGTGTATATTACATCTTTGATGTTCTTAATAGCTTATGGCCATAATTATTTAAATTAAAATCTATCTATGCATTCATCAGAAAAAGATGTGGGCCTTCTTTTATATTTTGGACACTTGAAAGAAAAATAAATAAAACCCACCATGATAGAGTCAAGCATCAAGGAAAATTACAGTTTCGCTTCTTAATTGAGAATATTCAGAGAAATAAGATGCTTATGCATATACTTTGAAATTATCACCTGAAGCAGTAACTATTAAGCTGTCTTGTCAAGTGCTGCTTGGCTTGCAGTTTTAATAATATTTGTGGTACCTTGGACTATGCATAAAGACTGTGAATTACTTGCCTTATAATCTTGGAAGAGGCTGCTATTCCAAATCCTTTTATGGGCTAGTGTGGTTTTTTGGAATAAATGATGCAGAAATATGTCTTCTATAAATGATTTAAGACCAGGGAGTTGAAATCTGTTTTTGTTTTTTATTAGAGGACAGTTATAAAAGAAATCGAAAACAGAGATAATGTAGCATTTTGATTTTATTTTTTAAAGAGCTTTTTTGAAGCTATTTTCCACTTTACCAATTCAAATAATATATATTTAATTAATAGTTTTACAGTAGTTGATCATTCTTTATTGTTTTCATTTGGTTAGTTGAGGTTATCCTCTGCATGAAATATTAATCATGACATTCAGGAACCATTTATAATAAAGAGACTGATACTCAGATTGCTTCAGGAAGAAAATGTGAGTAGCTGAAATAGTGGTTGGTTTAGAAACCAGACGTGAAGCAGAAATTATATACATTTTGAGAGAGAACACAAGTGAGCTTAAATGAAAGTACTAAGTCTTATATAAAAGCTAATGTGAAAATTGTTAGGAAAGATAAAATCTTGATGTCTCTCTCTCTTGTGAGTTTAAAGAACTCAGCAGTTTCCCCTCATTAGCACCTTTTACTGACCTTTGTCTGATGGCAGCTAGAATTTTGAAAGAGCCCATCTGAGTTATATGATTTAATTTATGTGCATCCCTTGTGACTCCACATTTTTCACATCTTTGTTGAATAGAATCAAGAAATAATGCTCTTAATATCACGTGGAAGGAAATGAGATCTTATTAAGTTTATTATCTATAGTACTAAGTGTCTGAAGTCTTATTCTAGATTTATTGAAGGTCCGTATAGTTTCACTGTGTTTTTCAGCACCATTTAAAAAGATTAAAAAAACATATAATTTTATATACACAGATTCTGTACAGATTTAAGAAATTTCTTAAGTTTCTTAACATCTTTCTGAAGAATAAAAAGTTGGTTCTATACTGTTCCTAAAGTGATAATGGTATCCTGAAATTCTCAAAACTGGAATATTTTGCTAGGTAAGAGATAACTTTGTAACGCTTTAACCAAACAATATTTTGGAAGACAAATCATAAGTGATTTTTCTACATCTCAGAAATCTTAAGGTCATTATATATAAAATAATATATTGATAAGAAATAATTAATTCATTGCAGGATCTCCAAGAATTCAGTACTCAAAATGATAAGACTCTCCATATTATTAATTTCTAATTTTTGTCTCTATTTTATGCCTATCTTTAGGGTTACATTTGTGGATACATCTGTGCATAAGCATTTAGCCCTCCAATTTGCAAAGATTGCTGGAAAGATTAGTGCATATAATAAAGATCTATTATTAATTGTAAACTAAAGTGAATTTCTTTCTAGTTTTATTACACTGATTTGTTATTTGTTCCATGCCAGAACTAAATATGTATGGACTAACATGTCATTTTATTCTATTCTTTTCCATATTTACTGCTTTTTCCCTCATTGTCTTTTAAAAAATACTTCTTTTCTCTAAAACATTATCTACTGTTAGTTTATATACTTAACTTTTTTCAAAATATACATATTTTCCTTTCACTGTTTTATCTTAACTGCATTGAGTTTTACTTTTATTCTCACATGTTTTATGTTTTTTTTTAAAAATGATGTTCAGATGCGCTTACCTTTGTGTACTTTTGAGATAATAAATAATATTAATTTGCTTAATTTAAAAAGATACAGTTTTAAATTCTTGCTACATAGTTTCCTCTCCTAAAACTATATATGAAGACTACTATATATCTGAATTATTTTTTTTTACTATTTTTGCTGGTTATTTTCTATTTTGTTGATTTTTTATCTCTTGTTTTATATTATACAGTGGGAAGAGATTGGTGAAGTTGATGAAAATTATGCCCCTATCCACACATACCAAGTATGCAAAGTTATGGAACAGAATCAGAATAACTGGCTTTTGACCAGTTGGATATCCAACGAAGGTGCTTCCAGAATTTTCATAGAACTCAAGTTTACACTGCGGGATTGCAATAGCCTTCCTGGAGGACTGGGGACCTGTAAGGAAACCTTTAACATGTATTATTTTGAGTCAGATGCTGAAAATGGGAGAAATATCAAGGAAAATCAGTACATCAAAATTGATACCATTGCTGCCGATGAAAGCTTTACAGAACTTGATCTCGGTGACCGTGTCATGAAACTGAATACAGAGGTCAGAGATGTTGGGCCTCTCAGCAAAAAAGGATTTTATCTTGCTTTTCAAGATGTGGGTGCTTGCATTGCTTTGGTCTCTGTGCGTGTGTACTATAAAAAATGCCCTTCTGTGGTACGACACTTGGCTATCTTCCCTGACACAATCACTGGAGCTGATTCTTCACAGTTGCTTGAAGTGTCAGGTTCCTGTGTCAACCATTCTGTGACAGATGAAGCACCCAAAATGCACTGCAGCGCTGAAGGGGAGTGGCTGGTGCCCATTGGGAAATGCATGTGCAAGGCAGGATATGAAGAGAAAAATGGCACCTGTCAAGGTAAGGGTTTGCCTCCTGATCTGCAGGGGCCGTCTGCTTGAGTTGGATCATGTATATGCATTTTCTCCAATGATTATGAGCAAATGACCTTTTAGTTTGCTAATTTATGGAGATTATTTCTCTTCAAGTTTGATTTCTCGCTTCCCAGAATTTAAAAATTTCTGGCAACGATGAAAGATTTAATGTAATTTTTATTGGATATACATAATTAATACTCAGAGCGTCTTACTTGCAGTGTAATATTTTATATTCGTTTTGCTTTAAGAAGTTTTATATTTGAATAGCCCAAACCAAGAGATTAGTTTCTTTGTATGTAACCCTGTATGCTTATTGTCTCTTACTCTGCTGCTTTTTTATCTCCATGAAGTTATTTTCTACTCTTCACTTGCTATATAAAATTCGAATGCAAATCTTAGATGAGATTTGTTTTGGCATACTTTTAACTTCCTTTTAAAAATTCTTCAAAAATAAGTTCAACAATATGAACTCTATAAAAAAATATTTATAAGCCGAAATGATTTAGTTTACTGTGTTGTTTAAATATAATTACTACTACATGCTTTCTTTTTAAAATTTACAGGTCAATTTTAAATGCATAGTAAGTAGTGCCCAAGAAAATAACTGTTTGGAAATGAAGCCAATACAAAAAGGTCATTTCAAACCAATTTGCATTAGGAGATTTTTTTTTCTGTTTTAATTTTTCTTTTAAATTGAAACTTGATCATGCATGCTTCCCTCCTCATTTGAAAATATCCTCATTTTGCCCACAGTGTGGTGAGTTGCCCTTTTAAACTTGGATATTTATCAATAGGTATTTTAAAACAGGATGTACTTTATGGTGAACAGAATAACAGTATATGAAAAACACTTTTCCCTGAAAAAATTGTATTATTCTCTGTGAACCTGAACTTATTTTCACCATGGCATGCACATACTACATAGGTAATAAGAGACAGTGTGTATTAACTGAGAACAAAACCTAATGCAAGAAATCTCCTAAACTCCCCTGGTTGTTTCAGCTGCATTTTTTTTTTTCCAAATCCACTATATAATGTGAATCAAACTTATCCAAGTTTGTGTGGCTTGGACTTTAGATTGATTATAGATCAGAAACAAAACTAGGGAAAATACCTGTAAATAGGCATGACTTTGCTATTTCTTTCTTGGTACAAAGACATTGTACTATGTTTAAATATCTTTTTTTAGCATCACTTCATATTTTGGATCTCCATAGTACCATCTAAGATTAAGACTATAATTGTTTTTCCATGTAATTTTTAACTCTATAACTTTCTTAAATCAAATTTTATTTTGGGATTCCTTTTAGTTTTGTCAGGGAAATGAGCCATATTCTATTAAGAATTTTATTTAAAGAATTCTAATATTAGCTTTTGTTTTCGAACAGTCTTCTTGACGTAAGGTGAGAATAGATGTAATTATTGAATCAGAAGCAGGAGTTAATATAATCTTTTGAATGAATTTCAGTTTTTCCCCCTAAAATATTTGCAGTGTAAACCTTGTTATTTCTAAAAATGTATTTATTGTGGTATAAAACAATATATTTTGATAGTTTGGTTATATCATTTAAGAAAATGATATGCGGTCACTTTAGGATACAGTGACCTTTGTTTTCATCTAGGTTCACAGAGGATATATTTTTTTGACATTGTTGATGAAATGAAAACATTCTGTGGGTGTTTATCATGAAAACATCTTGTGAAAAATATAGAACATTTCTTAGTATAGGCTTTTAATGACTATCTTATTTTTTCTTCTCATACTCTTCTCTATAATTGAAGAGTAGAGAACTGAGAGACAGTGAAATGGACTTGAGGGTCTACAGTTCAGAAACTTCACTAAATTGTATTTTGTTTTAATTAGGAGATAGGGGAAACAAATGTAGAATCTTAAAGGCTGTGGACTACATAGCACTTGATGACCTTATAAACAACTTGGACTAAATTATTGAATGAAAGAATACGTCTGTGGTTTGTTTTGGAGAATTACAGCTTTATAGATACTCCCCAGGCATATTTTATCTCTATATAACATGTATCTGCAGATATCAATGTATATGTAAGTGTTCCATTTAAAATTCCATGACTAGAATTCATTCTACGATCTTAACATGCTTTTCCAATACTTTTAAATGGAAATTGATGTTTTAGAATTTTTCTTGATCAACCAGAAATTTAGGAAACGTTCTTGACATCTTCTTCTTACTCACACTCTGGTTCCAATCTATCACAAAGTACTCATTGTTGGGCCTCCCTGGTGGTGCAAGGGGTTAAGATGCAACCTATGAAGCTATCCACAGCCACTGCAGTGCAAGTTCGATCCCTGGCCAGGGAGCAACCCACATGGCTCAGCAGACCTCTCCTGACTCGCCTGCTGCTGCCCTCAGCAGTGTATTTCAGTCAGTCTGCCTGTTCTATTCCCCACTCTGTCTCTGGTAAATCCTCTCACCCCCCCACATCTCTGGCCTGTACCCCAGTTCTTGTATGCATAAATAAATCTTTATAAACTACAACAAAAACCCCAAAGTATTCATAGAAATTACCACCAACTATCACTTCAAATCATCCACTTTGTCTTTCCTTTCTCTTCCAATCTGTAAACAGATCTTATTGGAACTTTATTTCCAAATATATTGTAAACTTCTTATAGAGTTTTGCTTTTTGAACAATGTGAATGTGTCACTTTTATAATAATGCAGATCTGGTTGTTTATATAACTATCTTCCTCCTTCTTTTCCCCCCTCTTCCCACTGACACACACACACGCACATACACATACATTCACACACACACACTTTAAATACTCAAGCGGTTTCCTTTAAGACAGGGTTACTACAGAAGCCTAAAGTATTCCCTGGTTTTGTCCCCATTGTGTCTCCAGACATAACTTAACCTGTGCATCCTCCCTTCTTCCCTTCTCTAGGAACCAGCCACACTGCTTTCTTTCCGTGTTTCACAGGCAGTTTGCTCATTTTCACCATTTGTTATCTATGATGCTTTCCCCTGCAACCTTCTTGTACTGCTTTTATGTCTGAATAACCTACATTAATCCTTCAGCTCTATGCTGCAACACCTAATCCTCTGTAAAGCTGTCCCACCCCTTCAAGAGTAAGTTAGGCTTCTCTATCATTTACATGTCTTTCCTTCCTAGAACCATTTAGAGTTATGCTTTTACAACTATTTGCTAATTTGCTACTTGATTAATGATTCTTCCCACTCCCATTAGACTACATATTTCTTAATGGCAGGTGTGGTGTATGTTACCTTAAGAAATAAGAAAGAAGTCAAAAGGCAAGAGGTAGAGAAAATAAATTCAAGAGGAAGTATAATGGACAAAAGCATAAAAGAATACTGTTTTTAAATTAATATAAAATCTACTAAGTCACAAAATTACAAATATCTTTTATTTTTATTATTTTTTATTTTATTTTTAATTTGTATTTATTTATATAAGTACTGGGTACAGTCAGAAGTGGGGGAGGGTGAGAGAATTCACCAGAGCCAGAGCAGGGAGCAGAGCAGGCAGAAGGACTGAAGTACACTGCTGAGGGAAGCAGCGGGCGGCAGGAGAAGTCTGCGCGCCATGTGGGACCCTCCTCCAGTGGCTGGGGAGCAGCCGGGGATCGAACCGGCGCTGCAGAGGCTGCGGGCAGCTTCACAACCCAGCGGTCTACCGCTGCACCACCGGGGAGGCCCTACAAATATCTTTTTTTTTTTTTTTTTAAAAAAAAGGTGTAAAAGGTTTGTCTTTTATTTTTTTTTTATTTTTATTTTTTTTTTAATCTTAAATTTTATTTTTATATTCCCCCATACAATTGCAAATGCCCCATTCTGACCCCAATCCTTCCCCTCCCGCCCCCCACCCCCCAAAAAGTGTCTCTGGTTCATAGTTTTTTGTTGATTTTGATTTTCACTTTCTTATATTCATTTTCCTGGTCCCTTATTTAAGTTTTCTAGATTCCTGCTATGAGTGAGACCATCCGGTATTTTTCTTTTTCTTTTTGGCTTATTTCGCTGAGCATGATCCCTTCCAGCGCCATCCATGTTGCTGCAAATTGCATGTGTTTATCTTTTTTGAATGCTGAGTAATATTCCATGGTATATATGTACCATATCTTCCTGATCCAGTCATCTACTTTTGGGCATTTGGGTTGTTTCCAAAGCTTAGCTATTGTAAACAGTGCTGCTATAAACATAGGGGTGCAGGTGCTCTTTGGAATTGATGTTTCTGTGTCCTTTGGGTAAATACCTAGGAGTGGAATTGCTGGATCATATGGAAGCTCTATGTTTAGTAGGTCCAGAAATCTCCACACAGCTCTCCATAGTGGTTGGACCAGTTTGCACTCCCACCAACAGTGCAGAAGAGTTCCTTTTTCTCCACACCCTCGCCTACAAATATCTTTTAAATTAATCTTAGTCCTGAAATTCATAAGCCAAATTTTGCAGTTCCAGATACTAAGTTATATGTGATTGGCATATAGATGTATTGACTATTATTGAGGCAATCTTAGTGATTTTTGTAGATTGCAAAACATTACGTACTAAAATGTGTTCCCAGTATAACCTTATTAGATACTGCTAGATACTTATATTTAATTTCAAAATATGTTAGGATTTAATTAATATGTAACTATTAAAAAGGTTAAAATTTGAGGAAATTTATAATGACTGTCATATGTTAATATTTGCTGAATCTGTGCTGGAAGGTAACTTAGTAGCTGCTGTCAGATGATGTTATTGTGACCTGATATATGTGCAGGGCAAAATTAGTTTACCCAAAGGCCTTAGACATTAAACCTTAAGGATAAAGGACACTGGACAGCTTCCTATCATATGGCTTCAGCCCAGAATACAACCAGGAAGTGATTCAGGTATCCATGTTCTGTTTAGCAATCAGTGATCTGTCATCTTCATGCCTCCATTTAACTTCTTTTAAGAAAAATTGGCTACCTTTACCCTAATAATCTGGCTTTAAGTAGGTAA